TGAGATTACAGAATATATTTTAGTATTTTTTCTTAATCAAAAATAACTCTCGCGTAGTACTTAGATCCTACGATATATTGGTACTCGGAATATTATTTAACGATTCAAGAAAATGTATAAATCTGAATTATGTCGTGATCTTTATTGACAAAACACAATAGTTTCCCTCAGATAAAAAATATAGGGTGATCTAAAAAAGTTTAACGCATCAGTTTTTTTTAATACAATACCCAATTATCGGACACTTGAGTTATTTTTATGTGTATATTACTTGTACAGGAACATAAGTAATCAATGCAGTATTGAGAATAGAAAGCGAAAAGGCAATACATGTTGTGAATACTTTTTAAAATTAAGAAAACGCCGGAAAAAAGAACTTTTCCCAGTTTTCGGACATCCTGGACAAATTGCCAGACACGGTTAACCTTTTATTCGTACAAGTGACTGAAAAAGTCGTATTTTTCGACCGTTATCATACTAAGTGTATTTAGCTCGAAATTTATGTAAAATCAGAAGCATTTTAAAAAAATTATTATTTATTAGCATATTGTTATAATATTGTGACGTTTAATTTATTTATAGTCTATTTATTTAAAACACTTTATTTACTATTAACTTATAACGTATTAATTAATTTATATATAATACTTAGCACTATTATAACTCATAATTCTAATTTATTACAATTTATCTTTTCTTTTAAACACTTAAATTCAATGTTTTTCGTCCGTCGACCACTCGAGCTATTTATATAAAATCCAACTCTGTGCGAGAATATTCTCGGGTTTTCACAACAATCGGAACTGACTCTCTATGACTCATACGCCCCAAAGGGATCACTCCGCTAGTTTCTCGAAGGGTCAGCGGCATACCTAGAAGATTCAGGGGTTTCGACCATGAGTCTGGTGACAGACTTCAAAGTCGCGCTCTACAGAGACGGCTTAGGCATTCCATGACAATATGATATCCTGTTTGCAAAACTTTCTCAATGGTACAGTCATTTGCGACAGTCTTTAAATAAAATATGGGTCACTCTCTATATAGTATTTTTTGCGAGTCAGGAATTGAAGGCATCTGATATACAGTATGGTTCAAATGAAAGGAATAAATTCATTATAATGGAAGTAGTTGGTTTTTCGAAAAAATGCTCGGACAGGTCAATTTTGTTTACTCAAAGCGCAATTTTTTAAATAGAATTCAATTTTCCCCCACTTCCCGTTTTTGGACAGTGACGTCATTGACAATTTTTTTAAATAGTAACCCTAATTTGTTTTTCTTGATTTTGAAAGATCTTGTAATTTCCTACTCGGAAACATAATATTTGAAATATCTGACATAAAAATTTTTTTGAATAAAAGTCATTTAAAGATCAGATATATAAATTTTATTTTATTTTGAAACATAATAAATGAATAAAAGGTTTTTTGTAATTAAGTGCTTCATCTAAAATAATAATAATAAAAACAATTTCACAAATTCTTTTTTATTATTATTATTTTGTTAGATTAAGCACTTAATTACAAATAATTATTTTTTATTCATTTATTGTGTTCTCAAAATAAAATAAAATTTATGTCTGATCTTTAAATGACTTTTATTCAAAAAAAATTGTTATGTAAGATATTTCAAATATTATGTTTCCGAGTAGGAAATTGCAAGATCTATCAAAATCAAGAAAAAAAAATTGGGGTTACTATTTGAAAAAATTGTCAATGACGTCACTGCCCAAAAATGGGAAGTGGGGGAAAATTGAATTCTATTTAAAAAATTGGGCTTTGAGTAAACAAAATTGACCTGTCCGAGCATTTTTTCGAAAAACCAACTACTTCCATTATAATGAATTTATTCCTTTCATTTGAACCATACTGTATATATTCAAATAGAGGCAAGCCTTTCGCTGGCAGATTTAGGGCAATGGAAAAATCTGGATTCATCCCCATTAAATACTCTTGAGGTGTCTTTCAAAACGGTCTCAAAATTGTTCTATCACTGCTCGAGCTTTTTTAGTACCTTCTCTGTTTGTCTTAGCGAAATTTTAGGATAACAGTTTAGGAAATTCTTAAACCACCTATTCAGGAGCTCCTTTTTTTCACCATCTACTGTCAGTATTGGTGGACCAGATTTTTTTTACTACCATGATTTTCCTGAACAGGCATTTTGTCATGAATTGTTGCGCTTGCTGGCTTTTCTTGTGCTAATTCCTGACTGTTTGATACTCTGTAAAGCCGATTCAACTGAATCGGCGGAATACATATGAAATTTTCGATTTTTGCTCTTAAAGGGGTTTATTTTTTAGGCATCTAAAAACTAATGTCAGACATTCCTAAACAAGCAGTTTATTTTAAAAAGTGGATAGTGCCTTAATAAATCCTCGACGTAGTTAAACCCTATAAATAAATTATAATCTCCATTTTTTGGACACCTTAAAGAATGTATTATATCTAATAAATAAGCAATAAAATGAGCAATGGCATCAAATAAGAGATATATATTTATAGGTACCTTATCTAATTACTAGAATTAGATCAACAAACTTTTACTCCGTCGTACCAATTCTTGGATAGTGTCCAAGGAGTTTTAAGAATGGAACCGCAGTTATCCTTAATTTAAACGGTTAAAAATTTTAAGTACGATATTTATGCTTAAAAATGTAAGTTTATAAGACTAGTACCAATAGAAAACTAAAATACCTATAAGAAATTAGTATTAGAAATCTTTACTTCCTATTTTTTGGAAGCTAGTCCACTGCAATTTTTGTAACAAGTCAAGGCTTACCACATGCACTCTCTGCGCAGTTGCCATTTTTAAATTATTTAACGGCTTCTTCTAAGATAATATGAAGCTAAAAATATGTGAGTGGAAGGGAGGAAAGTATAAACAAAGCACAAATCAATCATATAAGCACAAAAGTAATTCAAGTTTCTTATTTTGAAGAATTTTATTCAAAATTGTCCGAAAACCGAAACTGTCCGGCTAACCGGTTCGATCACCTAACTATGTATATAATACCGTTTCTAATAGGTTTTAATTTTTCTGGAAATGCAGTAGGTATGTGAGGAAAATAAGAATAGCTCTAAAACAAATAGGTATGATTAAACAATTTTGTTTTTCATCGCCACTAGTTTTAAATTCTTTAAGAAATTATAATATTTAGTATTATGCCACAATGTAGTCTGTTTTAAATAGATCGATAATTAATTAGAAATAGCTTTTCCCATGTCCCAGCTGCCACCTAGATAATGATACTCTCCCTATTTCACCCCCTTACGAGTGAATTTTAACCCCGAAAGCTGAGCTTGTGCGGGGAAAGGGACGCCTATTATGATTATTTGCCGTGGCGCTCCGGGGCGACTTAAAGATGATCGATGGTACCATTTGACTTACATGTGAGGAAAACCCCACCCACCATCATCGAAAACGGTAATGTATGGTGATTTTTATTTTAATAATCTGGATGTCATATCAACAGAAATTAAGTTTCTGCTAATATGGCATCCATCAAATCCTACAGAGAACCATGCAAATAAATTCACAGGATCTGAAACCGTGTCTCGTTTTACCAGAAAATTAGCTGACAAAAATGCCGCGCAGTAGACACCTACACCACCGTAGTCGATAAAGTAATATTCTTTATTGCCGCACGTGTATTTGTCGTATCCTTTTAGATCTGCAGATTCCTACCTATATTTTAATGCTGTATAGGCAGTAAACTTTTGTGACCGATGGTGGTACCGAGACGGAAACTATAGTTCTGGTTGCTATTTTTTTAAACGTGTACACGGAAGATATTCAGTTTTTGCGTTATACCAGAAAAATATTTTTTATTTCGTACCAACAAATATCAATAAAAGTTTTACAAAGATACAATACTTATCATTTTATTTATTCAAAGCCGTACATAGTTGAAGACAAGTGGATGAATGGCCTATGTAACATTTTTTTTCTTTTAAATGGTGTTTTTCTGTGAATGAAGGGCTTATGTACCTAAAATTAATTTAAAATGTCTTCCGTGGCAATATATCATCAAATATAGAAATTGCCAATGGATAAAGGATCCATGTACTAGAAAATAACTGCCAAACAATGAACTTAACACGAACTATCTCGTAAAATTATTTTGCTACATAGGCCCTTTATCTATTTGTCTTCAGTTATCATGGTGAAAACTCGTATCTATGTCTTTATCACTCATGGCCTACTTTAAAAGCTTAATAAAAAAAAATTGCCCATTATGATTAAGAACGTTTACAACAGTTTTTAAAAGTGTTTGATCCTATAATTATCAGATTATAAAGGAAAAAAAATCGAATTATTAATAATAATAGTTTATTGCTAAATATGTATTACATGGAATATTAACCATTTGCGGTTTAATGATAATATGGTATACCAGCAACTCGTGTGTCGACCTACTGCAGTAGAATTTCGGCGTACCATCGGTTGTATCCAAGTGAGTCTTCAACAATATCCGTATCCTCGTGACCAAATTGTTGTCATTAATTGGCTAAAATTAAATTTAATAAATTCAGCAGTAACCCCAAAACAATGTCACTGATGTACTTGAAAGAACCGACAATTACGTTAAGTCACTAAAAATATGTTTTTTTTTTTACCAAATCACATGTGATACGGCTATTATTGAAGACATTTTAGTATAGTTGAAATCTAAAATGGAGAATTTGTACACCCAGTATATTTTTAAAATTTATTCATATCTTGAACCAATTTTAGGCATTGGTGAGGTATTCTAAAAAGATAAAAACCATATGTTATACATTGTAATGGCACGTTTAAACTGTTTCCATATAAATTTTTAATTTTTTTACCCATTAAAATAACAAAATAATTTAAAATTAAATTTTATCAAATATAAATTTAAGGGTTTAGAAAAATGAAAAAGTATATTTATTATCCAAAATTATATTAGTATTAGTTTTACTAAGTAAAACATATTTTTAATACATTTTGAAAAGTAATGATGAAAGTTTGAACTGGGGCGGAAATCTACCTGATCTTATAAAGTTAAAAAGACGAAAAAATGATGGTCTTTGTGATTACCAATTCTATATTTATATTATATTAGTATACCTCAAAAATCTTACCATTATAGAAAATGCTTCAATAAAAATTCGGCTTCATCTGTCATTTTATTAAAAACTTCATATGGATGTTCAGGTTTAATGCATCCATCACATTATGTCAATGTTACAAGATGAAAATCAAACTTACATTTTTTAGTTTTGATGTATCTGTTAACATTCTGTACATAAGTACTCTGTTTTAAGTAGTCATTCTGTAACTGACTTCATATCACTAATTTCCTACATTCGTCATAAGTCACAAGATTTAATCAACTAAACAGGCTATCATCCAATTTTCTTCATCTGTTCTCAGTATTATAATTCACGGGTAGCCCATCTACATATTTTTAAGTGTCGCCCTCTACGCGCTTTATATTTTGTATGGGTCTAAATCTTCCACAGTAGACATCCTTCTAAATGGGTTGTAAACATTCTTCTCATCCTCCCTATTCTTCCAAGTTTGGCGTCCCGATTTTAATCTTTCTGGTTATTCAAACCTTTTTCACTTCTGTATTTTTTTTGCGGGTTAACCTCCATTTTATCTCACATGTCTTTCTCAAATCCTCTCCATTTTATTTTTCTTACCTTTCCGGTACTGTATTAATCAAAAGACGAGAAATAAACTTGTACACATTTTCTTCAGATTTTAATTTATACTGCTGCTAAATATATTAAGTAATTAATTACATTTTCCAAGAGTTGATCCAGATGCCAAGATATGTAAACCAAGCATTCAGCAAAAAAATTTTCGTTTTACAATTAACTATATAAGCAATCTAATCTGAAACAAAACAAAAAGGTATTGATATTGAGGGTGGTCATGTGAGTTAGGCTAATCTTAAAATATGAAGAAAAGTCCTTTGATATCACAGATACGTATTTAATTGCTATCGGCTTTGAACTTAAATTAATTATTTCATTATATTGCCGCAATTTGAAAATAATTGTATTTGCGAGATTCAAAGGATTATTTTTAAATTAAAAGATTGATAAGTAAACAATAGTTAAAAACAGTTCACAAACCTTTTTAATTTTAATCCTCATGAGAATTACTGCATTTGATATTGAAAAGAAGCATCAGAGAATCTGGATCAATTCATGGAATATCTTACCAATCATATTCCATCATTTACTGTCCCTCAATCTAATATTCTCTTCAGATATCTTCATATAGCCTCCTTCATGGTTGTCCTTCCCGTGTGGTATTGTCCTAATCGTTCGTCTTCTTAATGTGCCACCATCCTACAATCTCCTTGGTGTGTTGTGTAGTAATTTGATGTGGGCCTCATTCACAGCTGTTCCTAATCCTGTCCCTTTCTTATATGTCCTCTATAATCCATCCTCCTCTCTGTCGTAGGACTTAATCCTCCTCCCTGTCGCGAGTCTTCATCATCCATTCTCCGCCGTGGGTCTTCATCATCCATTCTCCGCCGTGGGTCTTCATCATCCATTCTCCGCCGTGGGTCTTCATCATCCATTCTCCGCCGTGGGTCTTCATCATCCATTCTCCGCTGTGGGTCTTCATCATTAATTCTGTCATGAAACTAATCTATTGTCATGAAGCTAATTATTCATTCTGTCGGGGTCTCCATCATCCATTCTATGCCACAGGTCTATATCCTCCATTTTCCGTCCTGGATGTTCATCCTCCATTCTCCGTCGTGGGTCTTCATCCTCCATTCTCCGTCGTGGGTCTTCATCCTCCATTCTCCGTCGTGGGTCTTCATCCTCCATTCTCCGTCGTGGGTCTTCATCCTCCATTCTCCGTCGTGGGTCTTCATCCTCCATTCTCCGTCGTGGGTCTTCATCCTCCATTCTCCGTCGTGGGTCTTCATCCTCCATTCTCCGTCGTGGGTCTTCATCCTCCATTCTCCGTCCTGTGTCTTCATCCTCCATTCTCCGTCCTGTGTCTTCTTCCTCCATTCTCCGTCGTGGGTCTTTATCCTCCATTCTCCGTCGTGGGTCTTTATCCTCCATTCTCCGTCGTGGGTTTTCATCCTCCATTCTCCGTCGTGGGTCTTCATCCTCCATTCTCCGTCGTGGGTCTTCATCCTCCATTCTCCGTCGTGGGTCTTCATCCTACATTCTCCGTCGTGGGTCTTCATCCTCCATTCTCCGTCGTGGATCTTCATCCTCCATTCTCCGTCGTATGTCCCACCATTCTGTGGTGTGGCCCTTTATTCTCAATTTTTCCTTTTTGAGTTTTTATTCTCATTTTTTCGTCGTGGGTCTGTATCCTTATTTCTCCGTCGTAAATCTTCATCCTTCATTCTCATTCTTGGGTCTTCATCATCCGTTCTCCGTCGTGGATCTTCATCCTTCATTTTCCGTCGTGGGTCTTTTTCATAAATTCGTCATCATGGATGTTAATCTTTCATTCTTCCTCGTGGGCCATCCTCAATCGTGGATCGTTCTCCTCTTCCGAGGTCCTTTGCGCATTGTCGTCTTTTTCCAAGCCTCTTCGCAGATCGTCGTCCTCTTCCAAGCCCCTTTGCAGGCCACTGTCGTCTTCTTTCAAGCCTCTTCGCAGACCATTGTCGTCCTCTTCCAAGCCTCTTCGCAGACCATTGTCGTCCTCCTCTTCTAAGCCCCTTCGCGGATCGTCATTCTCTTCCAAGCCGCTTCGCGGGCCGTTGTCCTCTTCCAATCCTCTTCACGGGTCGTAGTCATCGTCCTCTTCCAAGCATCTTCGCGGACCGTCGTCCTCTTCCAAGCATCATCGCGGACCGTCGTCCTTTTCCAAGCCCCTTCGCAGGTCGTCAATCTCCTCCATGCCTCTTCGCGGATGGTCATTCTCTTCCAAGCCTCTTCAAGTCCCTTCGCAGGTCGTCAATCTTCTCCATGTCTCTTCGCGGGTCGTCATTCTCTTCCATACGCCTTTGCGGATAGTCTTCCTTTTCAATCACCTTTGCGGGTCATCCTCTTTCAAGTCACTTCGCAGGTCGTCGTCGTCCTCTTCAAAGTCCTTTCGCGGGTCGTCGTCCTCTTCAAAGTCCTTTCGCGGGTCGTCGTCCTCTTCCAAGCCTTTCCGCTGAACGTCCTCTTCTTTCAAGTCTCTTCTTGGGCCGTCCTCCTCTTCTTTCAAGTCTCTTCGCGGGCCGTCGTCCTCTTCCAAGTCTCTTCTTGGGCCGTCGTCCTCTTAAAAGCCTCTCCGCTAGTCGTCGTCCTCTTCCAAATCCATTTACAGGTCGTCAATCCTGTACATGCCTCTTCGCGGGTCGCCATCACCTTCATGACTCTTCGTGGGTTCTCGTCTCCTACATACCCTTCCCAGGTCATCTAACGCCTCCATTCTCTGTTGGTCTCCTCCAGTCCGCTTAGAGTACCTTACTCCTCTATTCTCCTTGGTGGGTACTTCTTTCTTGGGTAAGATATCCTCAAATGGATCCATTCCGTCTTGTCTCTGGTCGTTCCTCTTTCTTCACTATCCCATTTCAGAAAGTCTCATTCCCCCATCTTGGGCCTTCATCCTCAATGGGTCGCATCTTTCTTGCTCTTCTATAGTTTATTTCGCCAGTCTTCCTCCATTTCGTTTGGCAGGTCGTCCTCGTTTTGTTTAGCCATCCTCTATTCTCCTTAACAGGTCTGCATTCATCCTCAATTACATTTGTGTCCTTCATTCTCCTTAGTAGGTCTTCCTTCATTTTAAGTTGAGGGTCGCTCCATAATTCTTGACTAGTAGGTCTTTCATTTTCTGTAACAGGTTCCCATTTACTCTCACAACTTTCTTCACTCGCCATAGCCCATTCTTCTTTAAAGCCCGCCTCCGTCCTTCTTTTTGTAAGGATAGAGAATACTTTTCCTCACTCAGTGTTGTACGATTCTTCATGGTCGTCCTTTACTCAATTAATGAATGTCAGTCCCCATTACGTTTCCTCTTAGTTGTACTCTGCAACAAGACATACAAATTACCGAAAATTATCAATAATAATAGTTTTCTTACCTTTATAATTTTAATTAACCACAAAATGGGAAACTGTTAACCCAGATTAATTCACCGAATATCTAATCGATCTCCCATCTTCTTCACATACTTTTCATTTATTGTCCTGCTCTTTATAGGGCCGTCATACAGTACTTAAATGTGCGAACCTTTAACTCATCAAGGGTTAACACCACATCACCACAATTTTCCACCAATTTTTTTTTCACAGGCGTTACAGAAAAAGTCTCGGGATTCTTCATAAACCTTTCATTCTTAGAGTACTTGCATTCGAAATGTCTGCCGATTGGCGTCCTACTTTGGTCGTTCTTTCTGGCGGTAATCAAACCTTTATTTTTTTTTTGTAGTCATCAGAAGGTCCTCATATTAGTTCTTGAGTTAATGTCTTACTTTCTTTCACGTATCATTCCTCAATATCCATTTTACCTTTCATTCCTGGCATTGTCATATTCCAGAGATATAAGAAATAGCCTTGTCCAAATTTTTCGGCGATTTTAATTTACACTGCTAAGCAATATATTAATTACATTTAACAAGAGTTGATCTGGATATATGTAAACCGAAGCCTACAGGCAATTGTAATCTGATACAAAAAATATGTAGATAATTGTCAACAGTAGTTTAATTTTCCATACCTTTCTAGTTTTGAGCCACTCGAGAATTGCTGCATTTTATATGGAGTTGAAAAATCAATTTTAACAAAAAATCAGTTATTCATTTATTCTCCCTTCTGAATGTGCTCTTCTTCAGGTTGTTTTTCTCTATTATCCATCATTAGTAGTCTCCTATTCTTCTTCAAAGATCCGTATCTTAGTATTCTTCTAGGTAGGTAGTCATTCTTTCTCCTTAATAGAGCTGCGTCTATCGACTAAGGATTGATCATTGGCGGTATTCCAATTCGTGAGTCATCCACCATTTTTGGTAGCGGTTATCCACCATTTTTGGTAGCGGTTATCCACCATTTTTGGTAGCGGTTATCCACCATTTTTGGTAGCGGTTGTCCACCATTTTTGGCAGCGGATCATCCACCATTTTCAGTAGCGGATCATCCACTATTTTCAGAAGTAGATCGTTCTCCATTGTCGATAGTCTTCCACCATTTTGGGGAGCGAGTCGTCCACCATTTTGGGTAGCGAGTCGTCCACCAATTTGGGTAGCGAGTCGTCCACCAATTTGGGTAGCGAGTCGTCCACCATTTTGGGTAGAGAGTCGTCCACTATGGTAACAGGTGGTCCTTTATTTTCGGTAGCAGTTTTTCCACCATTTTCTGTAGCAAGTCATCCTCCATTTTTAATAGTGGTTCGTCCTTCATTTTCGGTACCAAGTCGTCCTTCATTTTCGATCGAGGGTCGTCCTCCATTTTTGATAGAGGGTCGTCCACCATTTTGGGTAGCGGGTCGTCCATCATTTTCGGTAGCGAGTCGTTTACCATTTTCGGTACCAGGTAGTTTACCATTTTCGGTACCAAGTCGTCCAACTTATTCGACAGGGTCTTCTTCCATTTTTGGAAGCGGGTCGTCCTCCATTTTCAGAAGCGGGTCGTCCTCCATTTTCGGAAGCGGGTCGTCCTTCATTTTCGGAAGCCTGTCGCACTCCACTTTCGGTAGCGGTTCGTCCACTATATTCGGCCGCGGATCATCAACCATCTTTGGGAGCGGTCTATCCACCATTTTGAGTTGCGGGTCATCTACCATTTTGGGTAGCGGGTCGTCATCTACCATTTTGGGTAGCGGGTCATGTACCATTTTGGGTAGCGGGTCTTCCACCATTTTCGGTAGCGAGTTGTACATCATTTTTGGTATCTGGACGTCCACCATTTGGGTAGCGGGTCGACCACCATATTCAGTAGCGGATCATCCATCCTTTTCAGTAGCGGGTCATCCATCCTTTTCGGTAGCGGTTCGTCCTCCATTTTTGGTAGAGGTTCGTCCTTCATTTTTGGTAGAGGTTCGTCCTCCATTTTCGATAGCGAGTTGTGCTCCATTTTCGATAACGAGTTGTCCTCCATTTTCGATAGCGAGTTGTCCTTCATTTTCACTACCTAGTTGACCATTTTCGATATCGGTTCGTGCTTCATTTTCGATATCGGTTCGTGCTTCATTTTCGGTAGAGTGTCGGCCTCCATTTTCGGTACCTGTTCGTCCACCATATTCAGCCGCGATTCGTCCACCATATTCGAAGGCGGTTCGTCCACCATATTCGAAGGCGGTTCGTCCACCATATACGGCCGCGGTTCGTCCACCATATTCTGCCGCGGTTCGTCCACCATATTCAGCCGCGCATCGTCAAATATCTTTGGGAGCGGCCTGTCCACCATTTTGGGCAGCGAATGATCCACCTTTTTGGGCAGCGAATGATCCACCATTTTGGGTAGCGAGTCATCCACCATTTTGGGTAGCGAGTCATTCACCATTTTGGGTAGCGAGTCGTCCACCATTTTGAGTAGCGAGTCGTCCAAGATGTCGTTCATTTCGGGTAGTGTGTCGTCGACCATTTTTCGTTTCAGGCTGTCCATTTTTGGTTTCAGGCTGTCCATTTTTGGTTTCAGGCTGTCCACCAGTGACGGTAACGTGTCGTCCACCATTTTTGGTAGCAAGTCGTCCTACATTTTCGGAAGCGGGTCGTCCATATTTTCGGAAGCGGGTCGTCCATATTTTCGGAAGCGGGTCGTCCATACTTTCGGTAGCGGATCGTCCACCATTTTCAGTACCAAGTCGTCCAACATTTTCAGTACCAAGTCACCCAACATTTTAAGTAGCGGGTCGTCCACCATTATTTTGGGTAGCGAGTCCTCCACCATTTTGGGCAGCGGGCCGTCCCTCATTGACGGTAACTGGTCGTCCCTCATTGACGGTAACTGGTCGTCCCTCATTGACGATAACTGGTCGTCCCTCATTGACGGTAACTGGTCGTCCCTCGTTGACGGTAACGGGTCGTCCCTCGTTGACGGTAACGGGTCGTCCCTCATTGATGGTTACAGGTCATCCCTCATTGATGGTAGTGAGTTTTAATCCATTTTGAGTAGCGGATCTTCCACCATTTTGGGTAGCGAGTCGTCCACCATTATTGGTAACGGTTCGACCACCATTTTCGGTAGCGTGTCGTCCATCATTTTCGGTAGCGGGTCGTCCACCATTTTTGGTAGTGGTTCGACCAACATTTTAGGTAGCGGGTCTCTTATTATTTTGGGTAGTGAGTGGTTCACCATTTTGGGTAGCAGCCTGTCCACCATTTTGGGCAGCGAATGGTCCACCTTTTTGGGTAGCGAGTCATCCGCCATTTTGAGTAGCGAGTCATCCACCATTTTGAGTAGCGAGTCATCCACCATTTTGAGTAGCGAGTCATCCACCATTTTGAGTAGCGAGTCGTCCACCATTTTGGGCAGGTAGCGAGTCGTCCAAGATTTGTCGTTCACCATTTCGGGTAGTGTCGTCGACCGTTTTCGGTTTCAGGCCGTCCATTTTTGGGTAGCGGGTTGTCCACCATTGACGGTAACGGGTCGTCCACCATTGACGGTAACGGGTCGTCCACCATTGACGGTAACGGGTCGTCCACCATTGACGGTAACGGGTCGTCCACCATTGACGGTAACGGGTCGTCCACCATTGACGGTAACGGGTCGTCCACCATTGACGGTAACGGGTCGTCCACCATTTTCAGAAGCGGGTCGTCCATATTTTCGGAAGCGGGTCGTTTACCATTTTCAGTACCAAGTCGTCCACCATTTTTAGTACAAAGTCGTCCACCATTTTTAGTACAAAGTCGTCCACCATTTTTAGTACAAAGTCGTCCACCATTTTTAGTACAAAGCCGTCCACCATTTTAAGTAGCGGGTCTTCCACCATTTTAAGTAGCGGGTCTTCCACCATTTTAAGTAGCGGGTCTTCCACCATTTTAAGGAACAGGTCTTCCACCATTTTAAGTAGCGAGTCGTCCACCATTTTGAGTAGCTGGTCGTCCCTTATTAACGGTAACGGGGTTGTCCACCATTGACGGTAGCGGGTTGTCCACCATTGACGGTAGCGGGTTGTCCACCATTGACGGTAGCGGGTTGTCCACCATTGACGATAGCGGGTTGTCCACCATTGACGATAGCGGGTTGTCCACCATTGACGGTAGCGGGTTGTCCACCATTGACAGTAACGGGTCGTCCACCATTTTCAGAAGCGGTTCGTCCATATTTTCGAAAGCGGATCGCCCATATTTTCGGAAGCAAGTCGTCCATATTTTCGGAAGCGGATCGTTTACCATTTTTAGTACCAAGTCGTCCACCATTTTAAGTAGCGGGTCTTCCACCATTTTAAGTAGCGGGTATTTCACCATTTTAAAAAGCAGGTCTTCCACCATTTAAGTAGCGATTCGTCCACCATTTTGGGTAGCTGGTCGTTCCTTATTGACGGTAACGGTTCGTCCATCATTGACGGTAACGGTTCGTCCATCATTGACGGTAACGGTTCGTCCCTCATTGACAGTAACAGGTCGTCCCTCATTGACGGTAACGGGCCGTCCCTCATTGAAGATAGAGTCTTCTACCATTTTGGGTAGCAAGTCATCCACTATTTTCGGTAGCTAGTCGTCGTGGCAATATTGGGAGCGGCCTGTCCACCATTTTGGGAGCGGTCTGTCCACCATTTTGGGTAGTGAGTGGTCCACCATTTTGGGTAGTGAGTGGTCCACCATTTTGGGTAGTGAGTGGTCCACCATTTTGGGTAGTGAGTGGTCCACCATTTTGGGTAGTGAGTGGTCCACCATTTTGGGTAGTGAGTGGTCCACCATTTTGGGTAGTGAGTGGTCCACCATTTTGGGTAGTGAGTGGTCCACCATTTTGGGTAGTGAGTGGTCCACCATTTTGGGTAGTGAGGGGTTCACCATTTTGGGTAGTGAGTGGTCCACCATTTTGGGTAGTAAGTGATCCACCATTTTGGGTAGTGAGTGATCCACCATTTTGGGTAGTGAGTGATCCACCATTTTGGGTAGTGAGTGATCCACCATTTTGGGTAGTAAGTGGTCCACCATTTTGGGTAGTAAGTGGTCCACCATTTTGGGTAGTGAGTGGTCCACCATTGACGGCAAGGGGTCGTAGGTCATTGACAGTAACGGGTCGTCCCTCACTGACGGTAACGGGTCGTCCTTCACTGACGGTAACGGGTCGTCCCTCACTGACGGTAACAGGTCGTCCCTCATTGACGGTAACAGGTCGTCCCTCATTGACGGTAACGGGTCGTCCCTCATTGGCGGTAGCGGGTCGTCCCTCATTGGCGGTAACAGGTCGTCCCTCATTGGCGGTAGCGGATCGTCCCTCATTGGCGGTAGCGGGTCGTCCCTCATTGGCGGTAACGGGTCGTCCCTCATTGGCGGTAACGGGCCGTCCCTTATTGGCGGTAATGGGTCGTCCATCATTGAAGGTAGGATGTCTTCCTCCATTTTGGGTAGCGGGTCTGCCACCATTTTATGTAGCAGGTTTGCCACCGTTTTGGGTCGCGGGTCTTCCACCATTTTGGGTAGCGAGTAGTCCACTATTTTCGGTATCAGGTCATCCATCATTTTGGGTAGAGGGTCGTCCACTATTTTCGGTATCGGGTCGTCCATCATTTTCGGTATCGGGTCGTCCATCATTTTGGGTATCGGGTCATCCATCATTTTGGGTAGCAAGTCATCCATCATTTTGGGTAGCAAGTCATCCATCATTTTGGATAGCAAGTCATCCATCATTTTGGGTAGCAAGTCATCCATCATTTTGGGTAGCAAGTCATCCAACATTTTGGGTAGCGGGTCATCCCATTTTGGGTAGCGGGTCATCCCATTTTGGGTAGCGGGTCATCCACCATTTTAGGTAGCAGTTTGTCCACCATTTTGGGTAGCGGTCATCCACCATTTTGGGTAGCGGTCATCCACCATTTTGGGTAGCGGTCATCCACCATATTGGGTAGCGGGTCATTCACCATTTTGGGTAGCGGGTCATCCACCATTTTGGGTAGCGGGTCATTCAACATTTTAGGTGGCTGTTTGACCACCATTTTGGATAGCGAGTCATCCTCCATTTTTGGTAGCGGTTCGTCCTCGATTTTCGGTAGCGGTTCGTCCTCGATTTTCGGTAGCGGTTCGTCCTCCATTTTCGGTAGCGGTTCGTCCTCCATTTTCGGTAGAGGGTCGTCCATCATTTTTGGTAGCGGTTCGACTACCATTTTCGGTAGCGTCCGTCCATCACTTTGGGTAGTGAGTGGTCCACCGTTTTGGGTAGGGAGTCGTCCACCATTGACGGCAACGCGTCGTCCCTCATTGACGGTAACGGGTCGTCCCTCATTGACGGTAACGGGTTGTCCCTCATTGGCGGTAACGGGTGGTCCCTCATTGGCGGTAACTGGTCGTCCCTCACTGACGGTAATGGGTCATCCCTCATTTGCGATAACGTGTCGTCCCTCATTGACGGTAACGAGTCGTCCACCATTTTTGGTAGCAAGTCATCCTTCATTTTTGGTAGCAAGTCCTCTGCCATTTTCGGAAGCGGGTCCTCCGCCATTTTTGCCCCAATCCAAGCACATCAACAGAGAGACAAGATATTGGTGAAACAGAAGTCAAAGCGATTGGAATGAAGGACATGCTAGCTGATTCTTTAAAGAATTAGTTGGTGAAAAACTACAAATAAATAAAGACAGGGTATGCCTTAAAAACTATTATTTTTCTAGCTGTACCTACTGTTACAAGAGTGAATGTGCCCTCATTCACTGTCTTGTGCTTCTTCATGCTGTCCTCCATTCTTTAATCAATTAATTTCATACCCGTTCACGTTTCCATTCATCTTCACATTACCATAACAAAATTAGTTTCATTAAGATTTTTGTTACCTGTATAATTTTAACACATAAAAGAATGAATCTGTTAATTTCCAATCAATTCACAACATATTCTATCAATCCTAAAATTTGTTAATCACGTGCTTTTTAAGTACTGTCCAGTTTTTTTTATTTCAATGTACCTCTATTTGTTTTCCTTATGTTGTCCCCCAAGTTCGTCAAGTCTTCTTCATGCAGTACTCACTTCGTACTTCTTTGCCCGTGGCCTCCTGAAGTCATTTTCAAGTCTCTGATACCTTCTTTACGCAGTTGTTCTCTTACATGGCAGTGTTGTCCTCTTTACATCGCAGTCAAATTTTCAAGCCGTTACCAAGTCTTCTGCATACTGTATTATGTGTTCTTCGTGGCGCAAACCAATTATTTTATGTTCCCCTTGTCTTCATGTTGCTCTCCGATCTTCATGCCGCCCTCCGGTCTCCTAGATGTTTCCTTTTAGTTTCTTATGTCGTTCTTCAAGTTCAATATGCCATGAATAAACAACTGTAATAAAAACATGTTTTTAATGCCAAACATTTTTGAAATATATAAACAATCATTTGCAAATTTCTTCATTACAATTTTTACAAATAAATTTTCTATAATAATACAACAGTAATATTAGCCGTTCTTTATAGCCGAAATTAAAATAAATGTAAAATGATACTAACATTTAATAAACTTGATGCTCAAGTTTTAGTTTTTATTGGGAACTTCCATCTAATCCTGATTCCTCTCCATCTAGTCTTTTTCATGTTGCCATCCAGTCTTTTCGAGTTGCCATCCAATCTTTTTCGAGTTGCCATCCAATCTTTTTTGAGTTGCCATCCACTAGTCGCCATCTAGTCTTCTTCATGGGGTCAAATTCTCTTCACCATGTCACGATCCAGTCTTCTCCACTCCAGCTTTCTACATCCATGGACTTCATGTTATTCTTGAGAATCCTATGACGTCATCGTACTACCTCTGGGCACTGACCAATTTCCAACACGGCGCTATCCAATCTCCAACACGGTGCTGTCTTCCACTCTTCATATTACCTTCAAGTCCTGAACATAAACACCTGTAATAATAAAACGCTTTAATTTCAAACATTTTTGAATTTAAATATTTTTAAAAATGTTACATAATAGTACTCTTAGTGGTTCTTTATAACATAATTAATATAAAATATACTAACATTTCACAAATAGACGATTAAGTTACAGTTCTTCATTAGAAACTTCCATACAGTATTCTTCATGGTGCTAGTCTTCTTCCAGTTGCCGTCCACTAGTCTTCTTCCAGGTGCCGTCCACTATACTTCTCAAAGTGGCCGTCCTCGTCTTCTTCACGCCGCCATATACTCTTCTCCATGCCAACCACGATCCACTCTTAATATCACACTCCAGTTTCCTACATCCACGGACGGACTTCAACATGACATTCTCGAGGTTCCTATGATGTCCCCATCCTACCTCTTACTCGGCGCTAACCAATCTCCAATACAACGCTAAGAAAACATCCTTCACGGCGCAGCCAGTTTCCCATACAGCGCTGCCTTCCACGCTTTATGTCGCGTTTCGGTAGTTTTCACCTTGAGATTTTCTTCTTGTCCTGACTATAAACACCTGTAATAAATAATAAAAGGCTTTAATGACAAATACTTTGGGAATTAAATAAGTTTGCTTTTAAAAATAGTTTGCATAATGGTACTGTTAGCGGTTCTTTATAAGAATATAAAATATACTAACATTTCATAATTTAACTGTCAGTTCCAGTTCTTCGTTGGAAAGATCCATTCAGTTTTCTTGATACCTCCTTCCATCCAGCCTTCATGTTGCCATCCACTAGACTTCTTCAAGTTGCTGTACACCAGTACTCTTCAAGTTTCTGTACACTATTATTTTTCAAGTTGCTGTCCATTAGTCTTTTCTTCAGGTTGCCTTCCACTAGTATTTTCTTTAAGTTGTCATAAGCTAGTCTTCAAGTTGCCGTATGCTAGTCTTCAAGTTGCCGTTCGCTAGTATTCTTAAAGTTGCCGTCAGCTAGTATTCTTCAAGTTGCCGTCCGCTAGTATTCAAGTTGACATTCGCTAGTATTCTTCAAGTTGCCGTCCGCTAGTATACTTCAAGTTGCCGTCCGCTGGTATTCTTAAAGTCGCCGTCCACTAGTCCTCTTCAAGTTACCGTCAACTAGTCCTCTTCAAGTTGCCGTCCACTAGTCCTATTCAAGTTGCCGTCCAGTCTTTTTCACACCGCCCGCTATATACTTACGATCTTCCTTATGTCGCACCCCAGTTTCCTACATCCACGGACTTCAGCATGTCATTCTTGCGGTTCCTGCTATGTACCCGTTGTATCCCTCACATGGCGCTGCCCTGTCTCCTTCACGGCGCTGTCTTCCACTCTTCATGTAGCTTTCCAGTAGTTTTCATCTCGAGTTTTTCTTCTTTATGTCATTCTCTTCCTAACCATAAACACCTGCAATAATAAAAGGTTTTAATGACACTTTTGGAATTGAACTGCGTTCCAAGCGCCAGCTTAAAGAATTGAGAAAAATGACAGTTTTAAGCTTTTTAAAAAATAATCAGAAGTACTAAAAACAAATTAGTTCCGCAGTTTCATGATATATATATATATATATAGAATATAGTTTTGTGAACAGGTACCGCTTGTGCTTAAAAGACATTGGTTGTTCTTCAAAGATTCTACCTAAATTTGGCATTTAGCGTTTTGAAATATTTCGTTTAATATAAAGCTTTCTATATGACCATTATTTTTTATAGTTAGATTACACCTACTACCACTATATGGCGATATTATCTCAAAATCGACAAAATGGCACTTGGTCATGTTATGCATAACACGATACAATTTAAATAGCTTTTTATAAAAATAAGTACTATCAGCGGTTCCTAAAAAATAATATAAATGTATACTAACATTTCATAAATTGAGTTCCAGTTCTTAATAATTGGGAACATGAATCGTAGTCTTTAGTGTTCTTCATGCTGTCCTACAATATTTTAAATCCCATTACCCAGGCTTCTTTAAACAACTGTTCAGTTTCTTCAAGTCAGTAAACAAATTTTTCAGTCACCCTGTAGTATTCTTCACGTCACCCTGTAGTATTCTTCACGTCACCCTGCAGTATTCTTCACGTCACCCTGCAGTATTCTTCACGTCACCCTGTAGTATTCTTCACGTCACCCTGTAGTATTCTTCACGTCACCCTGCAGTATTCTTCATGTCACCCTGCAGTATTCTTCATGTCAGCCTCAAGTCTTCTTCATGTCAGCCTTCAGTCTTCTTCATGTCAGCCTCCGGTCTTCTTCATGTCAGCCACCAGTCTTCTTCATGCCAGCCTCCAGTCTTCTTCATGCCAGCCTCCAGTATTCTTCATGCCGCCATCCAGTCTTCTTTATGCCGCCATCCAGTCTTCTTTATGCCGCCATCCAATCATCTTCATGCCGCCATCCAATCATCTTCATGCCGCCATCCAATCATCTCCATGCCGCCATCCTGTCTTCTTCATGCCGCCATCTTGTCTTCTTTATGCCGCCATTCAGTTTCCTGTCTCCTACACGGGGCGACGCTGTCCAGTTTTCCATAAGACGGGGCCCTCCGGTTTCCTATACCCATTGGCTTATAACTTTTAGTTCCCGATGTTCCAATCCAGTCTCGTAAACGGCGCAGGCCAGTCTTCTACACGGTGCTGCCCAATATCTCCCACACGTCGCGTTCCAATCGCCACGTCGCTGCTTAGTCTCCCAACGTGTTGCTGTCCAATCTTCCATACGGCGCTATCTTTCACTCTTCATGTTGCGTTCAGCTAGTTTCTCTTCTTTATGTCTCCTTCAAGTCCTGACAGAAACACCTGTAATAATAAATCGCTTTAATTATTAACACTATTGGAATTATAACTTTTTTTTTAATATTTTTAGCAGTTTGTTATAACATAAAATTATACTTACATTTCATTCTTCAGTTGGGCACTTGAATGTTGTTAGCCTTCAGTGTTCTTCACGCAGTCCTACTGTATTTTAAATGCAAGTTTCTTCAAATCATTAGACAATTTTTTTATGTTGGATTACAGTATTCTTCATGTATCCCTCCAGTCTTCTTTATGTCGCCATCCAGTATTCTTCAAACCGCCATCCAGTTTTCTGTATCCATAGGTTCAGATCTCCGATGCCCCCATCCTGTCCCCTACACGGTGAGAAGCTGCCCAGTCTTCGATACCGCTCTGTAGTCTCGTCATAAGTTGCGGCTCTCCAGTATTCATGTGACACTCAAGTTCCCATCATCCACAGGCATATACATAGTTAGTTCTTCACGTCCCGATGCTCTCATCCAGTCTCCTATATGACGCGGCGAAGGTCAGTCTTCTACACGGTGTTGCCCGATCTTCAGCGCATCGATGCCCAGTCTTCTACACGGTGTTGCCCAATCTTCCGCGCATCGATGCCCAGTCTCCTACACGACGCGGCTAAGGTCAGTCTTCTACACGGTGTTGCCCAATCTTCTACACATCGATGTCCAATCTCCTACACGGCTGTCCTCCAGTCTTCATGTCGTATTGTTGAAGTCTTCTTCATGCCGCCCTCCACTTACAGGTTCTTCATGTCGTCCTTCAATCCTGGCCATAAACACCTGTAATATAAGATTAAGATTTTGATGAACACTTGGATACAAAAAAAAAAAAAAACAATAATTGGTTAAATTCTGTATTAGTTTTTTTTTTTAATATAATACATTAGTTTTAATATATTATCTCAATAAGAGAGAATGTAAAATTATACTAACATTTCATAAATTGGCGGGTAAGTTCCAGTCATCTCTTGGGAACTTGAATAACCCTTCCTGTTGGTAACCTGTGACCCTTACATCTTCATTTTGTCATCCTGCCTTTGACATCTGTCCAAAATTCTTCATAGTGTGTCCTGGTATTATTCATCCAGTCATCTTCATGTTGATCTCCGGTTTTCCACTTGGCGTTCTTTGGGTTGACCTAGTCGCAAGATGCACTCTTGTTCCTGTCCTCTTCATAGGGTTCTTTATATAGTCTTACGTATGACTAACTTAATAGCTTTCCTAATTTACCTCTTACAAATTAACTGTTTATTGGCTACTGTTCCATTTCCTCATGATCATGGTTCACACTATATGTCGATGCAGTAAAAAAATTAAAAAATATGATTGTAACAGCAGTTGGACAGTTGAATAATTAATGAGTAGTTATTTCTAGTCTGTCATTGAACACAAAAAGAAGTATTTAGGTTCATTTTCATTTAAAAATTTCCAATACCCAATCAGGGTTTCATCTTAGTTAAGAACAAAGAATTAAAAATTAATGAACTACTGAAAGCAGCTACTCACGTGAACTTTGATGCTATCTTGGCAATCTCATATTTTATATGAGTCATATGTATTATTTCTAATCGAATAAACTAAAAAGTTCCTTCCTGAAATTATTATATCCCCATTTATTTACATATTTACTTGTGCGTAATGTCAATGAATTTCCTCCTAACACTTAATTCTCCAAACGAAGGACATTCTGGAACTTTTTTCGTGCTTTGCCTTACCATAATGATGTGGATAAATCATTTTTAAGAATGACAATCACTATTAATGAATTCTCCAAGCTGAAAATTGTTTTTATTTTTTATACTAATAATGTGTTACCTTGAACATGAGAACACACTTCTAACGGGAGTAAGTTAATGAATGTCCTCCCGAATTACCCAATTCTCCAATCAAAGTTGTTCACTCTGGATTTTTTTTGTGTTATCCTAAAGTTATAGAGAAAGCACTTCCAACGATGTGATTTAGTTAGTATTGTCCTCAAATTCTCCAATCTGAAAATTATTTTTTGTTTTCATACCTCGAACATGAGGCAAACACCATATCTGGGAGGCAAGTCCAATGGCAGCACCACTTGGAAATTATTTTTCTTTCTATCTAATATGCGTTACTGTAAACATGTGGTAAAACACTTCTAATGAATTTCGTCCTCAATTCTCAAAGCTGAAAATTAATTTTCTTTTTTTCCTACTAATAATGGCGTTACCTTGGACATAGGGAGAACAGACTTATAACAGTGTCAGTTAATTAATTCCTTCCTAAAATACTTGAATTTCTCCAATGGATGGGTAGCTTGGAATTTTTTTTATTCCTACTATTGTTACCTCAAAGATGTAGAGAAAACACTTCTATGGATGTGATAAGAGTCATGAAATTAAGTCCTTGATAATCTGAAAATTATTTTTTTCATACTAATGTGTTACCTTGAACATGTGGCCAACACTACAACAGCGAGGCAAGTCCACTGGGACCAGCACTGCTTGGAAATTATTTTTCTTTCTATCTGCCTTGCTGTTAAGATGTAGATAAACCACTTCTTAAAGTGACAAACAATAACTGTTAATTTCGTCCTCAATTACTAATTCTCCATGCTGAAAATATTTTTTTCTTTTTTGTACTAATAATATGTTACCTTGAACACATGGAGTGAACGACTTTTAACAGTGTAAGTTATTTATATTTCTCCTAAAATACTTGAAGTCTCCAGTGGATGGGCTGTCTGGAATTTGTTTCTACTATCAAGTGTTACCTTAAAGATGTAGAGAAAACACTTCTATGGATGTGATAAAACAAGCCCTCGATAATCTGAAAATTTTTTTTTTTTATACTGTGTTACCTTGAATATGTGGCCAACACTATATCAGTGGGGCAATGGCAGAATTGCTTGGAAATATTTTTTCTTTGTGTTACTGTAAAGATGTGGATGAAACACTTCTAAGATTGGCAAACAATAATTGTCAATGAATTTCGTCCTCAATTATTAATTCTCCATGCTGAAAATTATTTTTCTTTTTCGTACTAATAATGTATGTTACCTTGAACATGAGGAGAACAGACTTTTAACAGTGACAGTTAATTAATTTCCTCTTAAAATACTTGAATTCTCTAATGGAAAGGCAGCATGGAATTTGTGTCCTCAATAATATGAATTTTTTTTTTTTATACTAAAGCGTTACCTTGATCATGTGGCCAACACTATAACGGTGAGGCAAGTCCAATAACAGCACTGCTTGGAAATTATTTTTCATTCTATCTGTGTTAAAGAAAGATGAATAAAAACACTTCTAAGAGTGACAAAAAATAATTGTTGTGTAAGTCAACTAATTTCCTCCTAAAATACGAATTTTCCAATGGAACTACTAATGGAAGGGCAGTCTGGAATTTGTTTATTTCTACTATTAAGCGTTACCTTGAAGATGTAGAGAAAATATTTCTATCGATGCGATAAGAATTATGAAATTAGAGTTCTTGATAATCTGATTTTTTTTTTATACTGAATGAAGGGCAGCCTGGAATTTGTTATATTCTTACTATTATTTTAAAGATGTGGAGAAAACACTTCTAAGGGTGTGATCTGCTTGGAACTTATTTTTCTTTCTAATGTATTTCCTCAAATTCTTCAATCTGAAAAATCGTTTTTTCTTTTTCTTACTAATAATTTGTGTTACCTTGAACATAGGGAGAACACATCTCTAACAGTGAGGTCAATGAAGACAACTCTCCAATGGGTAGCCTGAAATTGTTTTTCATAGGTACTACTGTTACCTTAAAGATGCAGAGAAAACACTTCTAAGGGTGTGATCTGCTTGGAACTTGTGTTTTTTCTTTCTATCTAATGTATTTCCTCAAATTCTTCAATCTGAAAAATCGTTTTCTTTTTCGTACTAATAATTTTTTACCTTGAACATGTGAGAAAACAGAATAGTGGGATAAGTTGAAGTTCCTTATAAAGTAGATACTTCATTTCTCCAATGGAAGCATGGCCTGGATATTTTATTGGTCTAATGTTGGAAGCATGGCCTGGATATTTTATTGGTCTAATGTTGGAAGCATGGCCTGGATATTTTATTGGTCTAATGTATTACCTTAAAGATCTGAAGAACACTCCCAAGCGTGTAAAAAAAAAAAAGAATTTCATCCTCAAATTCTTATCTCTCCAATCTAAAAATTATTTTTTTCCTTTTCATACTAATAATTTGTGTTACCTTGAACAAGGGGATAACGCATCTCTAACAGTGAAGTAAAGGAATACTTGACTCTCTAATGAAAAGGCGGCCTGAAACTGTTTTGTATACTATTGTTACCTTAGATGTACAGAAAACACTTCAAAGAGTGACGACAATAATTGTTAATGAATTTCGTCCTCAAATTGTTATTCTCCAATCTGAAAATTATGTTTTCTTTTTTGTACTAATAATGTGTTACCTTGACATGGGAAGAATACATTTCCAACAGTAATGTTAATGAATTTCCTCATAAAATACTAAATTCTCCAATGGAATGGCAGCCTGGGATAGTTGTTCCTAGTATTAAGTGTTGACTAATGTTCATTGCCTTTAACATGTCGGAAAATAGACTCACAACAGTGGGATAAGAAGTTCCTCATAAAGTAGGTACTTCCATTTCTCCAATGGAAGCATTGCCTGGATATTTTTTTTAGTTACATAAAGATGTGGATAAAACATTTCCAAGGGTGTGGTTAATTTTGACCTCAAATTCTCAATTCTCCAATCTAAAAATTTTGTTTTTCGTGCTAATAATTTGTGTTACCTTGAACATGAGAAGAACACACTTCCAACAGTGAATACTGAATACTTAATTCTCCAATGAAAGGGCAGTCTGGAATTGTTTTTCATACTCTTGTTACCTTAAAGATGTAGAGCAAAATACTTCTAGGATGTGATACTGCCTCAATATTTTTTTAATACACATCTTACCTTAAGGATGTAATAATAAGAGCTGATGACTACGTCTTCAAATTCTCCAATCTGAAAATTATTTTTTTTCTTT